GCATTCGTGAGAAGAGTTTTGTTATATGCTTATACAGTACAGTATTTAGCTTATCACGTGAAATAAAGAAAATAGAAATAGATGCCTCGTTTCAAACAAAAATAAGTCGATTGGCATAATGATGTTTTAACAATGGGACAAATTTTCTGTGATTAAAAAAATAATCTAAAGATTAAAACGTTTTGTTCGGCTGTATATATTATAATACCTCTTTGCTCAACTAAGGTGGGTCATCGTGCCCGCGTCTTGTGTGTCACCCTAGCAGAACCGCGGCATGTCATTATGTACCCTGGCAACCCCCGTGGTTCCCGCGCTCGTGACGACGACGTCGCGCGGGTAAATTAGTGAAGCGCACGTTCGCCAATCGATATTGCGTGATTACAGAGGATACTGGTCGTCGTGGGCTTAGCGTAATAATGGGACGCAGAGCTCGCATGTGAGACATACGTCCTATAGGTATATACAATTTATTTACTCTAGGGATTACAAAGCTAAATATATTTATTAATAATGCTCATTACTTGATTTAATAACAATAAAACAATTTTATATTTACCCAGGCAAGGATTTATTCATAAGTATTTTTATGTAAAATGTTTATTCATTCATTCATTTCAAATTGAATATAAAATAAGACTACATCAACTCTAATATTATGAACCTTTAGAAACTAGTCTTATACAACAACTGAACTGCATGTGTATGGATATCTGTGATATATTTATACTTATCGGCTTTTAACTGGAAGAGGTGTAATTAGCATTTACTCATTCTTTTTCTTGATTTTAATGCACAGTACAAACTATCACGTTAATTGTAATTACTTCTAAATAAATCAATATTTTTAAGCTGAAGTCTCAAGTATAAAGCAGATCCTACCATAAACTAAATTAAGTTTTTCAGAATCCGTATTCAGTTATAGTCGTCATTAGTAACAAGAGTAGCTAAGGGGATAAATGAATATCAATACCACTAAAACGAAATCTGCCCGGAGGTCGGATATTCGGCAGAATAATTTACTGCGATTTGATTGGTCATACCGTCCGGGATATTTGCATAATTGCCCATCGGCAAGTTTTTGTTTACAGTCAACTTAGATTCGGACAAAGCACTCGACCGTAGCCGAGGGCGACAGCCGAAACTTTGGGTCTCTATTCAATTTATGCATTATTCGCTCCAAATTGAAACGTCCATAGAGCAGTCTCATAGGTAAAACAAAGGTGTAATAATGGTGTAAACCGAAAGAGACGTTTATGAAAAATTCAAAAAGGTCCTTGAATTAAATGGTTAATTAATACCGTGCTAATTTTACCATGCGCCTACTCGTACACAACGTTAATCCTCCGCGTGAAGGATTAGGCGGGCCGGACGCACCAACTCATCAATAAAGGTCCTCGCAAAATTCCGTCTCGAATATCTTCTGCGGTGGCCGTTTGTACGTAAACACGCAAAATCCCTCGGAAGGTACGCCGCGGTCTCTAGACATGTGCGGGACATAAATTTGGCGAGCGTTACGTAGGTTCAGGCCGGCTATGTGGCTAGTACATAAGGTGGCTATGTACGAAGCAACACGGGCGTCACTTATCCGCGTGGAGGATGCGGTGGTCCGATCGCCCCCAGTCCTCGGGGGCCCCCACCCCTCGCGATTCATTAAGTCGGGCGCGGCCGGCGTGGCGGACGCGTCGCGGAGTCTCCGTGAATTCAAATTAGAGGCGGCTCGGACGTCGTACGTTAGTGGTGGTACATAATATGCTATCGAGATTCCCGTTTCATTGTTAAGGAAACTTTAAGATTTGAAGTTTTATAAACTATATGATACATAACATAAAAATAACTATTATCAACAAACTTCAAAGGGTCTTGTTTTCCTATACTGAAAAAAAAAACAGTTTGATTATGTTAGCCTACAAAGATTTTTGTTCCTAAAAACTATGACTATTTTGTTTAAGATTATTCTCAGATCTTTCATTTCAACAAGTAAGAACTATCCAATTATCTTACTCTATCAAAAAGCTTTAATTAACTCAATTAACAAAATGTTATTATATTTGTACCTAAATAAAACAAAGTTTTTCGTAAAATTGAATAGATTTATTTAGTTCAAGATATGGTTTCCAGTTTATGTTCATATTTTCTATGAAAATACATCTCATCTGTAATAGGACTCGTTGTAGGACTCATAAAAATAATATTCTCGAATTTTAAATATCTCAAAATGTAATAATAATAATTTGAATATGTTGTAAGATGATATTTTAACTAATATGTAATTTATATCGTATTAGGTAAGCCCAATACGCGCTATAAGACACTTAACTTTATTTTTGTAATATTTTTATTATTGTAAAATTTAGATTATAATTAAAAATTTTGTAACTATTTTAATTTAATATTAAAAAAAAATCTTATTCTTTATTATTATTAATAGATTAGTATTAAACAAATACCAAATGGGCTAGATTGAATTGGTTTGCATATTCGATATCGATAGGTTTCAGTAAAATTGGACCGCACTATTGCCCCTTTGTCTCGGCAAGACAGACGTGCGGAGCGAGCGGGTGAGGGGGCGCGCGGGCCGGCGGCGGGGGCGCAGCACGTGCCGGACGGAAGTCGCGCGGGGCCCAGCCCGCACCGCGCTAAATGATTCAAAACTCGCCCCGGACCTGCAAGATTTATGCCCCTACCCGATCCCTAGATTAAAGATGTCGCGCCTTTATTGAAATACGCTAAAATATTCCCGAAGCCGCGAACCACGCGACCCTACCCCCGATAGCAGTGGCGCAATTCATTCAGATTCCGTCCCCGCACTCGTTTCATTCAGATCTTTATTGTTTGTTTTTCGCTCTGCTTTATTATGACTGAGAGAACTGTTACGATAAGTGTCTCACGATTTGCGACAGTTTAAAAGTGTATTGTTTTATTTTATTTTATACGAAGTCTAAATTTGGGTCTAATAATAATCTACCTAATTGTTAAAATTATAATCAAATACTTTGATAAAATTTCCAAACATGACATTTCACTTGTCATTAAGAAAATTAATATGTTCTTAACAACACCATATTAAAAATACGAACTAAACACGTATGTAGGTATAATAAATTGAATCGGACGATTAGGTATAAGTACAGAAACTTGTCGGATAATGATCTGTGAGAATGTCCACTAGTGAACTTTGAATGGATTCGTCGGCGAGGGCAATATGTAAATGCGAACTTTCCCTCTTTCATCGCAGGGCGGGAGCTGCGAGTTGCACTTGGCCGATTTATGAACCACCCGCCTGCCGTTAGCGCTATTCATTCGTATTTGCTGCGTGCGGGGTGCATTTCACGATTCATTAAATGAACTTATTAATTCAGATTAAAAGTTTTATGACTATTTTTTATTCGTAATAAACTTCAAACTAGATTGGTTAATTATTATAATTATAAATTAATTTCTCTCTAACTCTATTAGATATGATTCATCAAAAATAATTGTTTTTGCTAGAAATCTGGCATAAAGGTATTAGGTAGATACTAGGTATAAAAAGTGTTGCTACATTAAATGTAACAAAATATGTTAAGATTATAAACCGACCGCAAGATATTTTTATCATTTCTCTTTAGTTAAACAAAAGATATAGGAACATCTCGTCGCTTGTTTGAAACTCAAAGTTTGTATCAGACAGAGTTGCTTTTGAGATAAAACCGTATGTCCGACGTCATGTTGCTATTTGTCGAGTAATTACCGTGATTGCGGCTCAAGACTATACATAGGAGTTTAGAATAGGTAACCATTAGCTAAGATTCGACATCCAATAGCCTATAGTATCAAAGCAATCTGGACGTCCGAGGCACAATTCGGGTCTTCTCCTTGCGCATATTGCATGCACGTACCAATGAAGTTTGCTTTGTAGGCGGTAATCTGCGGGGGTGTATCGGCCGGGGTGGTGGGTGTCGGGTTATGTACACACGAGCCTGAGGCGTCGAGGTAGGCAAATGGCCGAGCGGGCGCGTAGGCCGAGATCTCGAGCGATATCGATCCGCGGCTGACGCCCGCGGCCGCGTCGCCGTCGCCACGGACGCGGCTCGCGGCGGGAGGGCGGCGCCGCGTGACAAAAACAGTCCTTTGTTTGCAGGCGAACGCTCCCTAGAAAGGACTATGTTTACATGCGCTGTGAATTCCCGCTGTTTGAATTTATCGATAGGGCTATACATTATTATACCTTATGATAATATTTACTTGGGATAAAGGTTTCTTTGTAATAAAAATATTAACTGTTTTAATTTAAATAAGCAGCTTAATTTATTTGTTTTTTTTTTTAACTTTGCTGTTACATTTTTAGCGAAAAATTATGTCGATACAAAGTAATAAACGAGGTGCATCACTAGGTCGCGATGGCGGCGCGGTAGCCGAGCGGGCGGTGCGAATCACTCGCGTGGACGATTGCTGTTCTTGAAAGCGAGCTCTCTTAAGAGAGGTCTTTTGTCAAGCCTTTTTTTATCGATGTAAAACATACTTATATTGGCAATTTTTTGGCTGAAGTTTCATGTTAAATAATATCATAGACGACTGCTATGCACTTTTTTTACATGTATGTACCTATTAATTTTATATCTTATAAAAACATTATCTACGTTACGACACCATTATAACTCATTGATAAATGTTTTAAATTGTTTTTATATGTATTATTTACCTTCGCTGCATATTTTGCTGAATTGCATATGTAAAAAAATTAAGATTCGCGCACGTCTCATGGAAGTATGCGGAATTATAATATATTAGTTTTGACGTTCCGTCACCGATGAGACACAACGTATTTTCTGACAGATTAACACCCTTAAAACCATTTACAACCGTTTTTGGTAAAAGCTCAAATAAGCAACCAATATGGATATTCAAAATTTTCCAAAGTAATAAAAGATATACAACATACGAAAAAAAAAAATATTTTTTTTGAAATATCGATGTAAATTGTCACAACAGATTCAATTAGAGTCACAGCACGGTCTCGCATGAGTGGCGTTAGTACGCGTCGCCGGCTAATCCGATCCGCTGGCGACCCGAATCGATACTCTAGTCTCGCCCGCATCGATAATATCGATAACGATATGCAGGTGCGCAACTCTAGTGCGGGCGTCTTGTTCGAAATCCGAATAACGCTTGGTCAAGCTAACTCAAAGCGTGGAGCGCGGTAGAGTCTAATTTGCAGCGGTGCTGCGGTGGCTGGCTGTGTTCTGAGAGGCCGTTATATGTCTACATGTATGTGTACTTAACGTGTACAAACACGGGTATGTTATACATATGTGGGATAACCTAGATTCGTCCTCGCAAATGAGCGTCTATTCCGACAGTGAGGTAGTACATACGTGTCTTGATAATTGGGAAGGTTATATATTCATCGGTGTTATCAAATAAAAAAAAGACAAAACATTTTGCTTAAGTGTTCATTACTTAGGCCTGTTAACATTCTTTAAGTAAATTGGTACTTAGCCTTATAATAATGCCTGAATTAAGACATAAAAAAGTAATAAGGTAATTAAAATGTGAAAATATAATAAGTTAATGTTGAACAAAGTTTTTTTTTTGTAAATAAGACGCGAGAATCACTCGGAACGGCTTTAATTTCATCATATCTAGAGGGCACACTCTATTTGTGTATGAGCGAAATTTCGGAAGATTAAAGTCATTTCCGTAAAGATTATCTGTGCAGCTGAGGCACTATCAGCACGCGTAGCATGACGAACTCGAGAACGTTTTGTCTACACTCAAATGTCCATACGATATGCGCCCATACGATATCTCACTCTCGACCAGAGAAACTGACAAATTAGTGTAGACAAAGCGTTTCTCGAGATTGTCGTGCTACGAGTGCAGCACGCGTAGCATGATGAACTCGAGAACGTTTTGTCTACACTCAAATGTCACTTTTCTCGGGTGCGCCCATACGATATCTCACTCTTGACCCGACAAACTGACAAGTGAGTGTAGACAAAGCGTTTCTCGAGTTTGTCATACTACCCGTGCTGGAGTTACCTCAGTGACATCATTAATTGTTAAAAAATGTTTTTCTTGGAGTCATTACAGTTTCGGAAATAGGCGACATTTCGTTTTCCTAGAAACAAAGGGGGTCAGGGGTTATCGGTCTAGTCAGTATAATGTATGTTATCTGGGTTATATGATTCTATAATAAAAATGCTTCAGATGTTTGGTTCAAATCAATATAGTTTTAGATTTTCAAAATGTTAAATGTTGGATAGTTAAAAAGTAATTTAAATTTTATTTGAATAAAGATATTTGGTCTTTGACTTTCTTCATAGTGGGTAGAGAGAGTCTCGGGCAGAGAAAATCAGTCGCAATAATTAAACTCATAGAAATAAATTTTCACTAGTTAAAAGGTAAAATGTCAAAAAAATATCGTTCTTATTTGTTTTTTTTTTTTGTTTATTTTAACAGTAAGTTTTTATATTTGATCAATATTTACCAATATTGCATTGTGAATGCAAAATGGATCAATTATATTAATTTGAACATATTTTGATCTTTATCGAAACTTCAAATATTTATTAAAATATTTCTTTCCGCTTTTTGGGTGGATTGCCTGAATATTGAACAGAATACTCTCGTTAGTAGCGGAAAAGAAAAAAGTGCTTGAAAGATTCGTCAGATCATTCGACCTGTGAGGTCCTGGGTCATTGGTTAGGGCAGTCACCCGGATTCTGAAAGGTCGTTCCATCTCAGAGTACCTCAGGGTAAAGTGGATTTTTTTACACATTTTCATTACGAATAGTAAGTTTTACCTACTATAATTGATAATTACATGCACATTTTTTTTACAATTTTCCATAATAGACAAATATTTTCGTAAAATCCCGACGGAGCAATCACCCGGAGTCCTAGGACTAGGAAATAATTAAATTAAATACAAAGGAGGTTAACAAATCCTAAAGTATCAATATCATTAAAAAGCATGATATAAAATCTTTTTTAAAAATGGAACCGGATTGAAACTTAAAAAAGTGAAAAATAATACCTATCTCAAAAGCGACTTATTCAACAAAATTCTATTAGAGTCGTGCGGAGGTTTTCTGTAGGTTAGTAATTAGATGATAGGCGTCCGATTTCAATAGCCATTCCTTGAATAAGTCGTTTTTGATGTAAGTGTAATTTTTCATTTTTTTTAAGTTTTAAGTCTGTTCCATTTCCTTTTTTAAGATTTTAATTCATGTTTTTTAGTGATATTGATATTTTTTATAATTGGTAACACTAAAAATACTTTTCTGAAAACCGCGTCATAACCGTGTTAAAGTGCGAACCTCCATTTCTTTATCGCCGGTTTTTTTTTAGGCGGTTGATACGCCTTCTAAGTCTGATAAATACTATGCTGAAAACCTCATCGAAATAGGTTCAGCCAAACGCGAAATAATCGCGCACAAACATACACACAGGTCAAACTTAGAACACTCTTTTTGAAGTTCGTTTAAAAAATTGTAAAAGCCTCCATTGCTGAGCTAGGATGTACTTTAGTAAACGGCGCCACTACTTTCTTGTTTATTAGAAACAGCTTCTTAACTTTCTTATGCGTGTTAATTATTTAACTTTACATAATTAAAAATTATCTTAAAGGGGCGCCTAAACCACATAAAGGATAATTTAACTTCTATTTATATGTACTTTATAAAACTAAGCTTTTGTATTATTCTAAAGCACCGTGTAAACATCTGCTATAAAAAAGAATTGCATTACTAAAAAATTGCGAACCTGTGGTGCTAATGATTTTTTGGTAAGTAATTTTAGGCCTGTTACCCCTAGAAGCTTTATCGACATACAAGCGAGCGAGAAAATTTCCCGCCGAACTTTTTCGTGATTGTGATACGAATAGGTATATGTTTTGTGGGTAATTATGACAGAAGTACAATGGTCCTATGTCCAATTACCTACAATACAATCTCGACCTCTCAGTCGCTTGACAATGTTTTTCTGAACTTTTGAATCGTTCGTTTCAGCATTGAAATACAGTGCCCAATGTTAATTTTTATTATATTTTTAAGGTTGACATCTTGTCATTTTGTACAACGTTTAAAAAACTATTTTGCTTGGCTGACTATTTATATTTCCGAAACTGCAATTGTTGATTCATCCGAAATAATAATAATTTAAGTAAAACCTTTTTTAGTTAAATAAAGTTTGCCACAATACTTAACAAATTCATGGAGTGGCTGCAAAACAACCCTTTCCTGTCGCTTAATTATTTTACTACTTTAAAAAGTACTTAAAGTTGCACCGTTTCGATTCGAGACTGCAACAAATTTTACAATAACAATAAAACGTGAACTGAAAATAGTGAAAGTGTACGCAAAAGTTAGCCGCGCCGGAGAGAGAAAGTTGTAAAAGTTTTCGCGTCCACTTTGTTTCAGAACTTTGGTTTCAATTTGAAGGGTAGCACCGCCCCCTACACCCCGCCCCTCTACCCTCCTCTTATCATATTTGAGCCAAAACAAACGGAACTTTTCGTTGTGCTTTTAAAACAATTTTGATTAGCAACAATGAATAGGTAATTATTATATTTTGTCTGTTTGCATTCACAATGCTGTATTGGTCTCGTGTAGCTCAATTGGTTAGAGTTCTAAATATTATCATTCTTGTTTTTATTTAAAATTAGTAATAAAAAATGTAGGCCACTATTTATTATTATATTGACACCCATTTTGACTAACCTAAAACAAGGCATAGCTTAACTAGGAAACTAAAATTAAAAAACAAAATATTTATATATTACTTCCCTTTTATCCGCATACCGAATATCTTAACTTTAGACGTTGCTTAATTTCGTTTGGTGGTTCCTACTCAATGTTTACCTTAGGCCGATTCCTTAATATTTAGGCGGCAGATTCAGGCGACTCCTAAGTTTAGTGAAAAAGGTCATGATTCTTGTTTTGTCTTTTTTTTTGTGTATTGCTAAAGGAATAGTTTGATAATGTAAAACTAAACACATAATCTATATAAAAAAAAAACTTATTTTGAAACACAGACATCATAACCAGTTTGGTACATGCGGCCTAATTCTATTGTCATTTTATATTTGCTACTTGTCTTGGATTCAATTCCCAGGCGTCAATGTATAAAATGGACTTTTCTATATTATCTCGTACCTTTGTTGTCTCAGATACTCTATAATAAGATTACTTTGATTTTACCTAGGTTATCTTGGATTCTGAGCAATGTATTCATATTTTTTTATTAATTTATTTATGCCTGGGAAAATAGCTACTAAAGTTATTTTCCCACAAATATGCCCGCGTAAATTATAAGCTACATCGCTCACTGAATATTACAGTGGCACAACTCAAAAACCATATTTCAACAAACGCTCACCGAAGTTATGAAAATTGTATATATTTATAATTATGAAAATCATTTTTTTTAAGCATAACAGTAAAATCGTTTGTAATATATTATAATTGTTAAGTTTTTTATTTTTTCTTTAAATTATCTATGGGATGCCACCACAATGTTGTGGCGTTTTCTCGAAATAACGGTTTTTGAGTTGTGCCACTGTAGTATTCAGTGAGCGACATCACCTGCATATGTTCCATTGGTGAAAAAATAATTGAAATAGTTCCGGTTGTTTCGGAGCCTATTCAAAGCAATCAACCAATCATAAAAGCGTTTCAGTTTGTTTCAATATCTTTTGTAAGAGAGGCGAGAATTTATTTCATTCTTAAAAAATGCTCAAACAGTATTTCCTTTGACATTTTGTTTCTATGAAATGGACATAGTTAATCAAAAAGGATCCATCCCAAACAATGTCACTTTTGAGATATAGACGATCGAAGTTTAAGCTGTATTTGCATGTTGATGTAATATTTTTTTATATTATATTTTTATCTAATGGCATAGAAAACCACTTACATTAACTTAATACAACGTCATTTTAACAGAACTAATAATATTTATAAAAATATAAAGGTTACAGTATGTTTGGAATCTTTTTGATATATTTAGGTTTTAATTACCTTATTCTTGCAAAACAAATCTCAAAAACGATCCAAATGAAGAAATAATAGAACAATTAACTGAAACGCCAAATTGTAATCGTAAAAACTATTTATTAAAGGTTCTTTATATTTATTGTTTTAATTTTTAATTTCAAATTTATTCTCACTATCTAAAATTACCTTCCTACACCTTTTAATAAAATTACCTTTTAACAAAAATGATTCAAGCGTTTTGAATCTTTTTTTGTGATTTTTAACCGAGATTAGTGCCTTTAATTTACTAATTTGCTATTTTACTATATGGATCCAAAAAGCTTGAGTCGTTTTCATGGAACCAAAATATGAACCTACCATAGATGTACGGGATGGTAACTACCATTGAAAAAAACGTCAAATATTTAATACAGCTCAAAGCTTTTTTCCTATATGAAAGCATATCCTGATGGGCATTATGATATACTTTACTCATTTTCAACCATTTTGTGGGTTGGATCCTTTTTGAGTAACTACGTCCAATTATGACCGTCCTATTAGATGTGTTTAAAGTATAAAATGTAAACATGTTAGATCATACATTTTGTTTCTTTATCTATAAAATATCATCAGAACCTATTAAAATTACATAATTTTTGTTATGAAAAATTAGCTTACGAATTTGGGTGATTCATATGTCATCTGGTTTCTTTTTAGGATTCCGTACCCAAAGGGTAAAGCAGGAATCCTATTACTAAATCTTATGTCTGTGCTGTCTGTTTGTCACTGTAATGGATCGCACAAAATAACTTATCATAAATTGTTTTCCTATCAATCAATGATTGTGTGATAAATAAACCGATTACAATGATTGTACAACAATCGTGATTTTTTTTTTGCTCGTTTCCGGTGCGGAAACCTACCGTGCCAGAGAGCGACTTTTTTAATTACCAAACTTGACTTGGTTGGTTTTGTTAATTACTAAAAAGGAAACTACAAATAATATTGACACCTCTAGAGCAAATACAGATACAGATCATCACCTTACTTCGCTGAACTTAATTAAAGCTTAACTTAATTTTGTCCCTACCATATTAAATGAAGACAAAAACAATGATGATAGTATTCTGAAAATAAAAACATTCTTGGGTGTTCATAACGCCATCTATGATTATCCGCAGCAACTACTATATTTTAGACTCTGCTTTAAATAGGAAATAAAGCACACGATTTTCATTGCATTTATAACATTTTGCGTAGATAGCGTTCTTATAAGCTTTAATTTTTTTCTCTACATCAAAAGCAAAATTGTTTCTTCTTGATTTCGCAAAGTAGTTCTTAATTTTATTTCTCATTAAAATAGAGAGCAAATATCTCCGCAGCGAAGTGAATAAGCGCCACTGCCCACAGTCGTTGTTATAAAGCAACTTTTGCAATGCTCGATCACGGGATAGGTGACCAAAAGTTATTATCTCGAGCTACTCCTTGCTTCAGAAGGCACGTTAAGCCATTGGTCCTGGCTGCATTTGCAGTCGTTAGTGCCATCCAATCATGATCCATCCTCTATAACCAACCAATAAGGAAGACCTGAACAAAAACTATAAATAGTTAAAAAAAAAACAGGCTCTCTTCTTTTTTAAATTTTTCTATTAGATTAAAATAACATATCTTCTCCAGCCGGAGCGTCTGATGTCTCCATACACGGCTATCATCAGACGCAGCGGCAACCCGTTTGAACTGGCACACGTACTGGTCTCCTGGCTTATCGGTGCAGGATATGACGCATATGTGGTGATCGGCTGCGCTAAGAGAGACGTCTGCATGGCTATCAGATACCGCACCTTGTGCCCCGAAATACCCGATGAAACCGAGGTAAGCATATATGAAATGTTAAGCCCATTCCAAAACCATAGAGTATTTAACAATAGATTATAGAGTACTTCGCCCGCATGATCTTGTAATATGCATATCATTTTCCTTTTAAATCACTCTATATATTGATGAAAACCGTATAAAAATGTGTTGTGTTATTTAAAAGATCTCAGCATACTGACAACGGGATACAACGTTAATTTATACTAGGTATTTATAGATATTTTGGAAAGGAATGTAGCTCCTACAAATTTAATTACTTCTCCACGGTTTCAGTATTGGCGGCGGCTTGCATAAGATACTTTAAACTATGCTAAATTTACCAAAAATTAATAAATAACATACTATTTATATACGTTTAGATAATAAATGTACACTTATACATACACATTTTTTTTCGCCGTTAAATCCTATGCTAAATGCCCATACACGACTAACCATCGTGCGTATGCACGATGGTTAATCGTGTATGGGTCAAAATAAAAGCTGGTTAGACGATTATAACGAATCAACAGTAGATTTTCAAGGCGAGAAAACTGTTAAGGAAAATCTCTTAGACGACAAAAAGTGGCAACTTCGAAAATGTTATTGTTACATTTAAATGTTAATTAAAAAGAGGTCAATTGCAAAAGCTAAGAAAATCTACATTTTCTAAGTTATTAAATAATATATTTTTGTTTGATTTCTCTAACCTTTGTTGCGTTTTAGTGATAACAAGAAAGTTTCCGGAGTAGACAACGAATGAGCGTACTACCCACGCCTTACGCCGTCTCTCCAAATAGATACCCCTAACAGATATTTTTATATTTATTTCAGAAAGTAGTCGAGGTACCACCTTCCGATGAAGAACCTCGATACAGGTTGGTGCCTCTGCCAGACCTCACGTCGAAGTATTGCAAAGAAATGGACATCAAAGAAGCAGAGCGACAACAAAAGGAATTGGATAAAATTGAGACAGCAAAACAAAAGAAAATAGCTGTGCGTTTATTCCATAATATCTTATACATATCTAGCTGTACTTTGTATATATCTTCAATAGTTTGGGTCCAATATTTATCTAAAGATACTGTCTCTTTCGCATACCAGGAGTTGGAACAGCCCCCACCAGATAAGATAGATGGTTGGCGGACTCACGCTTGGATCCTGGTACTGCCTGGATTCATGGCGGTGGAACAACCCTTCTTCATAGAGCCTAGCGAAGGAAAAGACTATCCACTCGACGCGCCTCAATACCAACACCTAGACTCCGTGTACAATCATGAGAATTATTATGTAAATAACTACTCTGATTTTACAACACACTTAATGTTTAATGACCTTCAGTAACCACAAAAAGTCAAATAAGCTTATTTGGTCTTTAATTTGTAAAACCTTTTTTTTATGATTGTGTCCCTATTTCTTTCTTCCAACAATAGATTGAATCCTAATACTCATCAGAATATCTTTTAATATCTACTCAAATGTATAAACTTCATCGAAACCGAAAAGAAATTCTTTGTTAAACACGACCTATCGAACCGAATCTAATCACGAATCCTAAAGCTGTTTTGTAGCTGCTACCTATAAGAAAATACACACTTATATTATGCAAAGCAAAAGCAACATGGTACAATTTTTTTTTTCAAAAATCATTGGTTTCTCTTCGAGCTTTGAGAACAGAGACATTAGAGCAGTGGCGGGCTGACCTTATTGGAGGCCCGGGGCGGATATAGTCTTGGATTGAAAACTTTTTCCAACCAAGGCACTTGACATTGCGTTTATATTTCCCCTCAGCGTATACATTTTTAACTTTATTATATATTAAATGAAATCAAACAGGTAAATATACAAAGCTGCGAGAAGGGTCTCGGCTCGCTCAACTACGATCTATCAGAGCTGTCGTGCTGGGAACATCTATTGGCTGGAGAACCATACTACAGACGACAGATGGTGGGAGTAGATCCAGCGGATAAGAGGACAGCAGTGGACACTGAGAAGCATTTAGATATGCCTGCCAGCTGGGTGGAGAAACTCGACATACCTACTGATGGTTAGGAAACTAGTTTAGACCATTTTCTAAAAGTGGGTGTTGTCGGGGAATTGACAATGTATATTTTCTTGTTAATGAATCTAACTGAAACGTTTTTTGATGATTTATTATAATAAACAGCTATATTCTGTTTTCTTAGTTTTCTACACTTTTCTATTAACTATTGGTATCACCAATATTTGCAATATCTTATCAACACGACAACTGTGCTATTTAATTCAGGACTGTAACAACTTTATATCGCTTTATAATTGTATGTTACAGAGTATGAACAAAGATATCCCGGCAGCCACAAAGTGATACACTACAAGAAGGTTTTACTGGAAAAGTTCTCGCCGTACTCTCAGAGGGATGGCGTCGTGAAACGAATCAAAATATTCGACGACTATTCGCTCACCAATCTACTACTAACGTGAGTTGCGGTTTAGGTTAATAAATAATGTTATTTCAAGGTTACATTATGCGGTGCTAATTCCAACACCAATAGAAGTGATATTTGATTATGTCAGAGAGAGAATACAATGAATGCAGTGGAGACACAATTGTTTCGAAAAATTTGCGGATTAGCACAGACTGCATTCGCAGCGCAGAGCCAAGCAAGAGCATCGGTGTAAAAATTTTCGAGGTTTGCTCCGGTGATTCGGACATTAGGTCTTTCCAATGCCACATAAAAGGATGAGGCCAAAATGCATTGAAATCGGAATTTTATATCAGAACATAAAAACCTATGAATATGTGAAAAGAGTTATGAACGTTGAGGAGGCGAAAGACGGAAGAAAAGTAGGAAGAAGTGTGTGTGTGAACAGTTTGTTGTGGCGCTTTGTCTTCTCTGCTTACACCGATAGGTATTCATTGTATTATGTTTTTAATACTACGTTCTTCTTCTTCGCCAGTCGACAATATTGGTTCAAATTTTTTCAATATAACTTGTTTTAATTTTTTTGTCATCGTTTCTTTCAAATTTAATTGTTAATATATGACTAAAGTGTTTTGATTATATTTAATTATATATATACAGTAATGGCAATTAAGTGACAAATGTACAGTTATGTTAATTAATTTACCGCTTATAGAACAATTGCTCAAATACAAAAAGATTCAGTTTATTTTAATTTGTCATCGCGAATTGTGTGTCTGATCGATTTATCTTTTCGAAAGTTAATAGGAACTCGATAAAAACAGGCTAACTACTGCACCATCAAGTTCCATCTTGACTTTTGTTGAGACGGAATTGTTAATGAGGTACCTTACTGTAGTAATCAAATTATAACACACCACATTGGCATGCTGGGAAAAGAAAATTATACTTGGACAGTAAAGCTTTGTTGGTTAATACAGTTTCCCAAATTTTGTTATAAATGCTATTTAATAATATTTTCTTCCAAGATATGAGTATTACAAGAACAGAGTGGACAAAATGGAGAGTGTTAAGGTGGATCATGTCAAAAAAGAGGTGCAAGAAACTTTCGGGATTGGAAGAACGGATCATCTTTTAAGTAAGTATTTTAAAACAATGAGGTTGAATACAAACGTAATTAATACACATTAGACCTGATAGACCGGTCAGTCATTTTCTTATTGGTAAAATAACGAGCCGTCATTAACTTATATTGATCAATCGATCAACGTATGTATAACCGAGCTGTATATGGTACTGTTTTATTACAGTGCATTTTATTATAATAATATGAACATATTGTGTACGCAAGAAAACATTACGATTCCTTCACAAAAAAAGTAGTGTATGAACACTACTTTTTTTTATTATTATGAAATCTTGACACAAGAAATAAAAATAAACTTGCCGTTCCAAGCTTCAGACTTCAAAAAACCAGAGGATCATTTCTGGGTAAATGCATTGCTATGTTCAATAAAGTTCCACAAAACGTAATTGACCTACCCATAAATAAATTTAAAATTCATGTAAAGAACATACTTATGAGTAAAGGCTATTATAAAGTTGATGATTATTTTAAGGATCGCAATGCATGAAATTGATAGCCTTTGCTTTGTTCTATAAAGACTAATTATATGTTCAATCTATGTCCTACAGACTTTGAAAGTTGTACTTATTATTGTGATAATACATATTACTTTTGGTAATGACATGATTTATGTAAATGTCATTACTTATGATAAAGAGCTGGTAAGTTTCTTTCGCTTGTTCTTTTTTTCAGATAATAGACGTCCTGAACAAGTGGTAGCGGAAAACAATTTTTTGGACGATTCAAAAGTGCTTGAAACACGCTTACTTGAATAAATACATTTTCATTTCATTTCAGTATGCAGAATATCTTGTAATCACATGATTGTAATACAGAATTAAATCGAATCCCATCCTAAACTGTGAGGTACTAAAATAATAAAAAAAATCACATGCTTTTTGAAAGTAATGAAAATAATTGCACAAAACAATCTATCGCTTTGCTAAAACATTACGTCCTTGTCTTTCACGAAAATATGAACCTCATTGAATATAAAACGGAAATACATAAAATACCCTCAACATTATTTGTCTCTCCATCATTCTTAACTTGACCTTCCACTTTTGCATTGGTTTCGTCATATTTCTGCCGATATTTTTTCCACAAGTCTGAAACAACGTTTATACTTTTCTTTTCAAAAATGATCCATACTACCTAGTGCGTTCATAAGTTTGGAGACAAACTTTTTACCTTAACCCGCTGGATTATTCTTTATGGACTGAATTAGAGCTCAGGGCCTACCGAATATCCCACCCAAACTTGGAGTCACTGAAGCGAAACCTTGTTCGAGAAGCAAAGCGAATTCCGCTAGAAAAGATTCGTGCCGCCATTGATGCAGTCATCAAATCGTCTAAGGGCCTGTATTAAAAACAAGGGCGGTCATTTTGAATCAAATATATATTTTATTGTTGATTATTATCTATTTAATGGTTACTGAAAATTTTAGAAATATAAGTTAATTATTAAAAAGTTACGCAACTTTTTATTTCGTTTCAAAACTTATGAAAACACGAGGTTGTGAGTGTAAAATATTGTCTAATGTACACGTCATACACACACTTATATAAACCATGTCTGATCCGAATAAACCTAGTATTATTCCAGCATTCGTTAGTTTCATGTCTCCCGATCTTTTCCGTCCTTACAAGGTATTATTATAAATGCGAAAGTAGCTCTCTCTGCGTGTGTTACATTTACACGCCTAAACTACTGAATTAATTTCAATTAAATTTGATATCCAGATAGAGTGAACCTTTGGAAAGGACGTTGGATCGTTTTTATCGCTAAATATAATCATGTAGGAATTCCACGCGGGTGAAACCGGGCGGAAAATAATAGTAATATAATAAAGAGGGAATAATTTCGAACTAATCCATATTTTAACATGCTTATGATTATAAAAAAATAAAAATACTGTCATTTCTTAGAGCACGTATACTCTCTGGATGCCCCAGTTGTGTCTGTGGAGGGTGTCCGAACACTAGAGTTCAACTACTACCCACGCCTGGACCACCTCACCAAGTTGGTCTGCACACCGCTAACTTTCGACGAATATTATACTAACAGAGATGACAGGTGAAACGTTTTCTAGGTCTATAATTATAATAATTAATTATTTACCTTTAAATGAGGTACACCGAAGATGGAAATACAAATTAAATTCAGCCTATTTAACCATCAGTCTTTTTGAAATTAATCTTTATTAATTAATTTTCTTCAGCTGTATATTCAAGCTAACTAAAAGTTAAAAGTATAGCGTCAATTGTTAAGTGCCTTTTTACATTAAAACGGGACAATCCAAGTGAAAAATATTTGTAAACTATCTAATGGTGAACGTCCACTTTAAGCATGCACGCAACTGACGCACCGTAGTATGCGACGATATTGCACTCCGATCGCACGCAATATATGCGCAAAGAATGCGATGATCTGATAAGGATTACCTCCATAGAGCTTCTATGCGTAACTTACTATCAAATGGTACTTCTTTTACAAAAATCCGGAAGCAGGATGTATGACAGATATATATTGTGAGAGTGCTTGTCAAGGCACTGGTGCTCGAAAAACCTCCTAAAATGTTTTAATTAAATGCATGTTGGAGTCTCTTGGGACTCTTGACTCTTGTATTTTTCTTAAATAATTTTACAACAAAAGCGATTTGTTTTAAAGATTTTTCTTTTAAAAATCATCATTTCAGACTTGAATCCCGTACCATAACTTATACGGAGGGCACTAAAGCGGAACCTAAACGGCGCGTGAAAGATATCATAGAGACTTATGGTCGCAACAATGATATACCCGCTAAGGATGACGTCTGGAAGAAGATTTTCCGTATTCAGGAGAATACCATAGAGCTACTCTACCATTACGCATACAACTTCGTTACTAATGACACGAGGCATTACATAAAGCCGAACCTGGCGGAGACCGGTGGGAAGATATTGTTTTACCCGGATAAAACATCCGGTTATATTGTGAGTAGTCAATATATATGTTACTCTTAGTCCTGTGGCACTTCACGTCATTGATCATTCTCATAACGCGAAGTGTAACTGATTATTGAATTGATTCGGTTATTTCCGTGTTGTGACAAATCATTGAATATTTCTGTTTCTTGACTGGCGGTTGTTTTGGTAAATTGTGCATAATATCTAAACATTAAATGCTGAGTGGTGTATCACAAATACAGTTATTGGTTGAATATATGGAAAGGAATGTACTTCAATACAATTCTATTATATTATTTAATACCTAGAATATACTTTGTACAGTAAAATGTAGTCCTCCAGTTTTTTTAGACGAAATATTTGTTTGAGCGTTCAGATAAAGTTAAGGAATGCTGAGTGCTCTTTATTTGGTTAAGGTAAATTTTAGCGGGACTTTAATAATATAATACATTGTTTTTTGTAATTTATCAAACATAAAAATTTTAAAATGACGCAGTTTATGAAATTTTTGAAATATAGTAAGAATATACAACCTAATCCAATGCTATCGATCTAACCCTGTTCATTTATTTAAACATTCATTTATTTATTTTTGTTGTTATCCGTATCACGTATCCCTTTTCAATGTTTTAACAGAAATGGTGACCTTAGTAAACCAAAAAACTCCTTATTAAGCCTATATTATTTGATAAAATTATTCTCACTAATATTTCTCATATCCGCTTCAAATTTTCTCTGTTCTCGTTGTTTGTCTTCATATACAGCTTATGATACATATAGTGCCTAGTTCACATTATTTGGGTCAATAATAACTGAAAATAATCTATTAAACAATACTCTAACAAGAGTAATAAGTTTTCACGCTACGTTTTGCAAGTGAGAGAGTTAACTACAGTCGCTACGGTATTTCTCGATGACGTTTATCAAATTTGTAACTCATGGTACCGATGTTCTATGGGATAAGCTACGAAACGTAAAAAACGTTAGTCGCTAGCGATTGGCTTTCGATAGGTAAATTTACTATAGGACTCATACTAGCAATCTTTAGTTTCACAAGTGACCGCTAGGAGCGCTGTACAGTTCTCCATGCAAATCATTTACGCAGTCGCTAGCGAGTACGGTCATTGTAAACTCATGGTAACGCTACAGTGGTGATTGCGTTCGGGAGTACGGTTGGTCCACCTTAGGCACATTACGACTCGCCACATATAATTTTTTTATAAAAAATAAATTTAATAAAATTTAAATAAATTAGGAAGTACAATGATTTTTTGCAATGGTTGTTGCAATAATTAAGTAAAATCATCAAAATTAGTAACATAACATAACAAAGGCGCTCGTTTAAGACTCCGTCGGCGTTTACTCTGACTCTGCCGCCATTTGCAAACAGTCCAAACTAATGAATTCCTGATGCATTCTTCCAATCACTTTCTAGGCCGATCCGTGTGCTAAACAGCCCCGTCCTCTGAACATCTACTACGCCCTCTGCGATAACATGGCGTGGGAATATAAATCGACAAAGCACATACGTGACAGGGAAACAGACATCAACGGTTATCTCCGGCAAAGGCATAAGGAACTGACGGAGCCATTGCTTTACGTTGCTCTTTTCGATACAGAGAGGAACGAGGCTGCTAAGAAAGGATGGAGAGAGCAGGTGAGACAGAATTAAGATATTGTTGTGGGTATAGTACCTAGAGTACGCTAGAGGCGCTAACATGCGCGTCATTGACTTAACGTGCTAGCTGGTGTTTTAAAACTATTTTTAAATATGCCTCGATACTTTAAAATAAATATTTTGAGGGAAGCGGTGGTAGAAAAAAGAATTATATCTAGTTTATTCCGCTTTAATAACCTAGATATTCAAATTCCACATTTTTGTGTCCTCAAACCACCCACAGGAAAATCACGTGGGTGACCAAAAGCCACAAAATTTTATTTTATTAAGAATTAGATTTGAGGTATCACTGAAAATTGGCCCAACTATAAAATTGAAGTCAAACTCCAAGTGTTATATACATTATATATAGTACTATTAACTATACATCGATTTCCCATTTGAATAACAGGAGCTACAAAAAGCTGAAGTGACAGAGCGCGAGAAAGAAGCAGAGATAGACCCTCTCGCTCCGTACTTGGCCCGAATGTTTGGTTCGGGCCGAGGTACAGGCGCCCCCCTCACTGTGAAGGAAGCTACGCTTGTCCGTGAACAATGTATCAACGACTTTAAAGCTAAACAACTAGCCAGGCAGAACTTGGTGCAAGAGCGATTTGATAAGGTAATTGTTGAAAGTACTATCTTAATACTGCATGCATCTTCCGTCAAATATACGCAACCCTTAGATCCTATTAATGTTCCTCGTTCTGTCAAAAATATTAAAAGAGTTTCGTGTGGTATTTTTGAATTTTAAGATTTTCTTTCTCTATACTTGCAGTTGAATTCAGAGTACAAAGCGAAACGGCTATGGTACCTGGCCAACCAGTTCATTTTAACTCCAGAAAAAGAGAGCGCTTATTTTGCAGCTAGGTATGTATATCATTCAAAGTCGATATTTACTGTTTTCTTTTAAATTTTCTTGATAATTACTGAACTGTTTCATTTGACTCTTTTACAATAACTTACATGTTTGTGACTGACTACTATGCGGTCTTTGTTATTTCAGCGCCGAATTGTCCTTCAAAGTGCATACTTTGGAAGTGAGACTTACGCGTCACAGAGATCTCTCAGGTCCAAGGTTTAAGATCCTAGAGGATTACTTGGACAAACATCCACTCCTGAGAGAGTACAATCGAGTGAAAAACTACTACAGCAAGTATAAATAGAGCTGGTTGATTTGTATTTTGTCAAGTTGTTAAGAGCGTTTACAGGAATTTATGAAACTATTTTATAAAATTACGAATGTTTAATATTTAATTGAATAAATAGAAAGAATTATGAGTGTGGCTTTATTTGATGTTACTTGCTGTCAATGGTCCCACGTTGGGCGCCAATGAAAATTTCTTTTTATACTTTTCAAACGAGTAATAGTACAAACTTAATATAGTAAATGTACATAGATTTTTTAATAGTATATGACCAATTTTTTATTGTTGCCAGTAGAGTTATGCTCCGCCTATGATTTTTACCAGGGTACCGGTTCTTAAATTAACTATGCGGATTTCTTCCTAGAAAAAAACTCATTTTTGGATTCTGTACCCAAAGTGTAAAACGGCACCCAATTACTAAGAGTTCACTGTCCGTTCGTCTGTTACCAGGCTATGTGAATGAAACATGATAGACAATTGAATTTTCAGTGATGATAAAAAAACATAATAGGTATTCAAAATAAAAAGATAAAGGGCTCCCATACAACAACATGATTTTTCAGTGTTTCATGGAATATGCTACGGAACCCTACGTGCGTGAGTCCGACTCGTATTTAGCCGGTTTATTGGTTTATTTAAAACTAGCTTTCCGGCAGCGGCCTCACCCGCACGGCTTTATTATGTATAAAAACCTTCTTTTTGAACCACCCTGTCTATTAAACAAAAACCCGCAGCAAAATTTGTTGCGTTGTTTTAAAGCTTACATAAGAAGGGACAGACAGAAAAGTGACTTCGTTTTATAAGTACTATGTAGTCGTCATCATCAGCCCTTTCACGTTCCTACTGCAGGGTTCCAGGCCTTCCTTGTGAATGGTTAAGGATAATGGACCATGACCCTCCACGCTTTGAGGTATTATATGATTGGAGGTTATTATATTATACTATGTATTAATAAAAAAAGAAAACAAAATGTGGAATCTTTTGAAAGTATTTTTAATGTCAAAAAACATTAAAAAAAAATTTTTACTCTAAAAAAAGTATTTTTTATTATTATTGAGAACTCCACTTCGTCTTTAGCACTCTGTGATAAGACTCCAACCAACGACCTTTTTTAAGCATTTTTCATTAAAATTAAGAATATTTTTCAGTATGTAGCATAGTGAATGCAAAATTGATCATATATAATAAGTTTTTTTTTTTTTTTGTTCACAAAAATAATTTTAAAGTCTTTCTTATTGTTGAAAATGTAATTTTTTTCAACAATATTTTTTCAAGTATGTTTTATTGTCCTCTAATGTTTTTGTAGCAGCTAGCAGGGTTGCTACCCAAACATTAAAAAATCGTTAGACAAAATACTTTCAAAAAATCATTTTTTGAAGTATTTTTTATTGTCCACAAAGACATTTTTTAATCCATTGTAAACACCGAAAGTGAGTCTTTAAACACGTGTTAAATAAAAATGTACTGAAATCCTTTACTGCACACGTGCTTAAAAGTATTTTTTAAATTTTTTTTTTGATCGTGCACCAAAGAAATTTAATATATAAAATAATAAAAATGTATGACACTAAAACATGTTTAAATATCACGTTTAATTTTAACAAATAATTTTTACCTTTAATACATTCTTAGTTTTATTAACCTATATATTTGTTTTATTTCCTCGCAAAAAGCATTGAAAAATGTTGTAAGAAACTTGAGCGTAAAAGGTTTTTCGAATTCGTGCCATGAAAACCCTCGCTACGCTCGTGTTTTCAATTTGACCCTTATTCGTAAAACCTTACTTTCCGCACTCGTATCTTAAATAACTATTAAAGTCTTTCTTATTGGTGAAAATGTCATTTTTCTCAAAAATATTTTTTCAAGTAATTTCTATTGTCCTCTAATGTTTGTGTAGCAGCTAGCAGGGTTACTACCCAAACATTAAAAAATCCTTAAACAAAATACTTTCAAAAAATCATTTTTGAAGTATTTTTTCTTGTTCAAAAGGACATTTTTTAAAAAAACTTTATGGTTCGTTAATGTTTGGCAGCCTTAAACAATTAAATTTAAAAATAAAACAATTTTTCAAGTACTTTTTATTGTTCAAAAATACATTTTTTTAAGTTTCTTTTTTATTCTTTAATGTTTGGGTAGCAGCCAGCAGGGCTGCTCCCGCCTGAGGTGCGCGCCCCAGTCGCCGGCGCCGCCGAGCAGGTTCCCGCGCCCGTCGTGCGTGGCCAGCGCCAGGCGGGACAGCTTGTTGGCGAGCCGCCGCTGCGGCGAGTCCGGCCGGGACAGCGGCGGCAGGGATATGCTGCCCGAGTCTTCGACGTAATACATTATTATTAGGGGTGTACACTAGTTTTTTCATATTTTTTAGCAGGAGCCCGGATTGCTGAAGGTCGTGAGTTCGAATACAATCTAAGAGTACCAGGGACAGAGTGATTTTTGAAGCATTTTTCATTAAGATTCAAATTTATCAACTCAACTCGACTTTAATATCTATTTTCTAAGCAAAAAAATGCGTATATAATATTTAACTATTATCTGACTGGTGGACCAGGTATAAAGTGGATTTTTAAGTATTTTTCATTTAGATTCAGATTTATTTTTAAGATTTTAACACCTCAACTTTAATGGTTATTTTCTAAATCGTATATAATATTTTTATATTATCTGACTGGCGCACTAACACCTAATTGCACAAACGTCCATTAAAATTATCATTACTATAAAGTGACATTACATGAAGTTGAGGCTTGTTACGCCACACTTTTATTCGAAACTAGCTGACCCGACAGACTTCGTCCTGTCAAAAAGATTTGTAATGTGGCAGTTTTTTTGCCTACGTATTTAAAAAAATTCTCCTGAACAGAACCGTCACCCTGGTGATAGGGCGTTGTGAATAAAAAATAATTAAATAAAACATATATAAGGATTTAAAAGTAAGTAATCGCTTTATTGTTAATCATGTGAATCATAATTATTATTGCAATGTATTAATAGTAATAGTATTAAATATAGAAAAAAGAGATTTTTATGATCATAAAAACACATTACACACAACAGCATTATAAAAGTAAACTATTCGAATTAAAAAAATATATAAACATTCTCAAGGAAAAATGCTGGAAGAATCCATCTACCTGTACCCCGGAATGGGACTCGAACCCATTCGCGATCCAGGGACTGCTCTAACCAATGAGCTATCTAGGACCCAACAGCTTTGCTACTACAGAGCGTATTTTCATCAATGTTCCGGCAATACATGTAATGACGTGGAAACTGATGCATTTTATCTCGCGTGCCGAAACTAATACAAAAGAAACGCGAGTTTCGGAACGCGACATTAAACTCCTCCAACTATGTATTCTGTGCTCCAACGCACACACGCACATTGTTTTGATAGATATGATCTTTGACGTTAGGAACACACCTACATTGCTTAGACAACAGTGAGTGCTTGTAATTTAATATGAACTTTATACCATAACAATAAAGCTCAAATTGACTACGTTTTAGTTACAAATCATTTGTATGGGAAAAAGAAAAGGGCTATTTTTAGGGTTTTTCCAGCAATAATTCTAATTTTTCTCGCCGTAAAAACCATCCTTGAACTTCAACGAACATTTTAAAAAAAGATTTGGCCAAATTGGTCGAGGCGTTGTTGAGTTATGCGCTTACCAACACATTTTGCGATTCATTTTTATATATATAGATGTACAAAAGCGTGACGTCATGCGACATTTAAATTCAATGTATCGCCGTAATTTATTGGTTACGCAAAATATTAAAAAAAAAAGTATTCACAATGCTATACTGATAAATGTATTCAATGAAAAATTTAAAAATCTACCAGGCCCAGGTTCCCCGAGATAGGAATCTACAACTTTTCGCAATCCAGGCAATTGCGTATTACTCAATGGTTAGAGTTGTATATGATATTTACTGTTATTATAAAAACAAGAATTAATTAGAACAAAGGAGATTGTAGTTATATTGTTGGAATATCAATGAATAATATTAATAAAAGAATATGATTTTCGAAAATTCCACAAATGTAGTTATCTAAAATTATGATAAAAGTTTATGCTGCAAGTGGTTTTTAACTAAATTTGCGAAATAATTTACATATTTTTTAATACATTTAATTAGTTTTAATTACCTTTACGATGAATTACTGTATATGTCGCAACTAAATGATTTAATCAGGCGTCCAACCGGGCGACTAGCCTTTTAATTGAATAGCACCATTCAATTAAACTTTTGGCGGCTTTTGTATCCGCCGTCTTGTTGAACGGTCCAAATATCATAATGATTAAACTAGAAAACGAGGCGTGTAATTGAATGGTCGCCCAATTGAACGGCTAATTTATTCAGTTAGATGCGACATAAGGATTATTAAAATTCTTTATTTATATAAATTCATTCGTTTACGAGACAATGCTTTTTTTTTCTTATCTCAAAGCTAAAAGTATTTTCGGCATTTGTATTAACGGCGTAGCCAGTGCGGATTGATGGGTGTTAAAGGCTCCAGTTGTAGCCGGGGCCAATACCTTGATGTGCCTCGCAAAGCACGAAGGACGTCGAGTGAATTTTGGTCACCCATCCTATAACCGGCCATTACGAAAGTTGCTTAACAGACCGGACGCGTTAACCGATGACGTGATGTAAGTACATTTTAGCTATTAAACTTGTATAAAACTAGCTCATGACCGCGACTTCGTCCGCGTGTTAAAGTTACTCTGAGCAGCATTTCTAACGAATATTTATCCAATATATCGTATAAAAAACCTGAAATAAACTTTCATCCCCTAAGGGGTAGAATTGAACAAAATCCTTTCTTGGCGGATGCCTACGTCATAACATCTACCTGCATGCCAAATTTCAGCCCGATCCGTCCAGTGGTTTGGGATGTGCGTTGATAGATCACTATGTCAGTGAGTCACTTTTGAGTTATATATATCGCACACCTAGATCTAAAGTGAGACAACTCAAAAATTGGAGTGAGTTTTGACTAAGTACAATATTCAAATACTCGGTGATCATACGCATCTGTACAACAT